AGAACCCTGCAGGGGAACACTGTGCTTGGGACCAAGCTAGAAAGAGAAAAGCCAAAGTGATGAAGTAGTACTACACATGGAAATAGGTACTACAACCAGACAAACCACAGCAAAAGACCAGAGGTGCCAACAGCTGGACTTTTTAAATGGAAAGGGAACCCATGCAATGGAAGCAGAATCAATAGAGCAATAGGAGAATGGTGTGGGAAGGGAATGAGCCAAATTGATTGGAAGCAGAAGCCAGAAGCAAAGCCTGAATGACAACTGCAACCTCCTCTTGACCTGTGGGATTCCTGCAGAGATCAGGGGCACCCACCAAACAGATTACCTGACCTGAGCCCATTTTCCTGGCTAAGGGACCAAAGCTGCTTGATTCCCAGCTGGAGTCTCTCAGGGACTGGCAGATGGCATAAACCTTCCCAAGGGCATCCAGTGGCTATGTATAAAGATCTATTTACATTACTAATGTTTGCAGAGTTTTCCAGTAACCTTTCACTCTTCCAGAACTGGGCATAGGATTGCCAGTCTTTCTGTTTACTGTGGTGTGGATATCTTGTCTTCTTTTAAATTCCCATCAGTGGTTTGCTCCAAGCTCTGAATGTGCATGAGAAATTTCCTTCTCTGTCTGACAGAAAGAATCAAATCAAGAGATCTTTATCTCAAAATACTGCCATGTCCTTGTAAGTGAATAGATTTTCCCTTTATATCAGCATTCCTTGTCAGTGTGATAGGGATTAGGAAGCTGTCTCTACACTGGGACCTTTGCAGTTTAATAAACATGTCAGTTTTCTGGAAAAAAAATAGTAAATTGGCAAAAAATTGCAACTGCTAAAAAATTATATACATTTGTTAATTTCTGGTCTTGCCTGATAGCAGTGAATTCTTGAGTTTCAGAGGAGTCTAAAATGAAGCAAATTGGAATTACAATGCAAGTGAAATTCAGGGGGGAAAAAACCACTATGGGGATGCAAGGAACATTGTGAGCCTTTATAGAGATTGCTTGATCTCAAATTTACTGTTAACACTCAAAAAGACAATATATCATTAGACCGTTTTAAGAAAAATCTCTCATCTTGTGTTCTGTAACAATAGCAAAAGGAATTACACACACAAAATGTTAGAAGCTGTGAAACATGAGATTATTTTGTTGCCAAACAATCTGTGATGCAAAGAGGCCACTAAAGAAGAAGGCCACAAAGGAGGTTCATATTTTCTAGAAGTTAATCAGTTGCTATACATGCATCTACACCTGGCTTTTGAGCAGTGTACTCCTAATCTCCTTTTTTTTTATGAGGTACTGCATTGAAATTTATTGCTGCTAAGCTACCATTAAACCTGGAATAGGGCACAACTTCTCTGTATGTGGGCAATGGAATTGAACTACCCAAAGAGGCTCCAAGGTGAACCTCAGTGCCTATGGCTGCTGGGAATTCCTGTAGCACTGAAGGGAGACCCTCTTTTCCTGAAGAAAAGCCTTATAAAAGGCCTAATTTCTAATCAACTTGCAGAATTTTTTCCAAAAACACTGATAGTGTTGCCTGAGTTAACTCAGACTTCTTTTGTGAATCAGAAGCAAGACTTAATTGACTATGGTGATGGGAGAACCAACCCTATTGCATGGGGAGGCAGATAACCCTACAAAGGGGCATTTGAGACATCTCTGTGATGGGATATGGGCTGCCTGAGCCAGCTGATGTTGCCTGCAGTGCTTGGGACACTGCTATGGGGAAAATACAGACAGAACTCCAGCAAGAAGACCTGAAGGTATTAGAAGTGTAACAGGAGTCACTTCAGGTACAGGTGTACTACAATCAGCTAGGTCAGAGGAATGAACCATAAAGAGACCAAGTAAGACTCTCCAGCCTATGCCTTTGGCCACAACCAAGATCCAAGATGGATCTCAGGCAGACTTACCTCACTCTTCCTTGAAATTCTGGGTAGTTGGAAGTACCAGTAACATGTGGGTGGAACATGAGGACAGGAGGATAGGGAACTGGAATGCAGGGCACACATATGTTAGGAGAATCATGGTTTAAAGTTGAACTGACTGTGTCTTTTCCATGCTTTTCTGGTGGCAACCTGGTGTTGGAAAGGATGGAACAACCTGGGAACAATCACAGAAGCCAGTGAAGCAGAATCCCAATAACTTATTAAGTATTAATGGAGAAGGGATGAGAGCAGAGTGAAAATCACCTTTCTGAAAGGCTTGCTTGTGGCAGTGTTAAGAGAAAGGAAAGCCATGCAGGCAGGGTGGCAGTTCTTTGCAGTAGCCAGAGGATACAGATTCTGCATATTCCCTGAGACTGAGAGCACTAAAACTTTGAAAGATGCACTCCTGAATCCAAATGTGTAATGACAACATTTAAGAATAAGTAAAATTAGTTTACAGGTTTTGAATTACCTTGTTTTAGGCTGCTAAACAGGTTCTCTTCTCATTTAATCAGCTATTGATACGGGAATGGGAACACTCCAGCTGTTGTCAAGAACTTGGAGGCCTGGGCCACCATCCAAGTATTTTCAGACACACATTTGGCAAGCAAGCTCTTTCTCAGATTATGATTGTCAGGTAATCTTTTCTCTATGCCCCCCTCTTCCATTTTACTTTCCTCCTCTATTCCCCCTTTTTTCATGTGTAGATAACATTGAACACACATTTCTTTCTCTGTATCTGAGATTACACAAGGGAAAGCCTCTCCACCTTCGTTAAACAAAATTATTTCCTCTGGTGGGTTGGCCACCTGGAACATAAAACATAAAGCTATTTTAGCAGGAACTAATGTGGTTTCTGGCAGGACAGCAAACAGTATCCTCATTGGCACATCCCTGGTGGTAGTGCTGAACCCCCCAGTGGGGTGAAGGCAGGGTGAGAAGCATTCTTGAGTCACGTGGATCACAGGATTAAATCCAATGACTGAAAGAAAGAAAAATACAAAGACCGGAATGTGTAAACAGTGAAGGGGGAAAAAAAGAGTAGAAATCAGAATTAAACTTGAAGCCTTTTTGTTAAAACTCTTTGAAAGGGTGTCATAGTGTAAGACCAACTTTATGGACCTTTTCTTAGGCTCTCTCTTACCCAGTGACTCAACCATAAATTTAATAAAACACTTTATATATCCTAATGGTAGTGATTAACATAGTATTTGTGAGCCTAAATATATTCTCAGCAACTGCACCATCTTCTTAGTACTACTAAAACCATTCAACGGGACTAGAATGCAGGGTGTCATGCCCTTCCTTTGCTAGCTATTACTGCCAACACTAATGGATGCTGTTATTATATTCAGTAACAATGGACACCACCAGTGCCAAGAGCAGCTTCCACTTTTGTTGGTGACACATCACTGTGAAGTAGCTCAGGCACCACTACTTGCACATATGTCCCTGCACTTCTGTGGTTTATTCAAGATCACAGGCCCATGTTGCAAAAGGAAGCATGCTTTTCATGGACTCTGGTTCCACATAAAATTAAATAAGAAAATTAAATCACCTGCAAACTGAAGGTTAGGATTTTTCTTCATTCATAATACCAAGACATATGGATAGCTTTATGATAAATTATATAATGATAAATCAGATCTCCCCGGTATAGCTGTAAATATTACAAATCAACAGTGTATGGCAACCCTGTTCACCCCCTTCAACACTTTTCTTGCAAATAAGGGCAACTTGAAATGGATGTCTGAAATCAGAAGCAGTTATTAATACTGAATCTGCATTTTGGTAGAAAAAAGTAATACTTTAAAGTGGGAATTAGAATTACAGAAGAAACATGAGTCCAAATCCAGAAGAGACATACAAAAGAGAAGCAGTATCTCCAATGGCCAGTATCTCAGGGGCTTAGCAGGACCCAAACGAACAATTTTTTGCACTCTGATGAAAAGGCTTATTGAAAAATCGCCATGTTTTTCACAAAGGTGTCAAAGTAGAAAGATGAACTTTCAGCCTTAGCTCAATGTCATGCTGCAGTGCGTAAGAAAAGAACAAACACGAGCTCACAAATGCAGTTTGTTCTCTGTATCATGAAAGCCTGGCAGAACTCCAGTGCTGGAGTAATGCCAAACCAGCACACCAGTGTCTTTGATCTTCTAAAGCTTGTGTTTTCCTTTAGTGTTTAACATCTCAACTAATTTAAAACCAATGTACAAATGGCTTTCAGAAATAATTGTGAGCAGCCAAAGTCTCGACATTTCATAACTATTCAGGTCGTTGGCAACTGTCACAAGTGGAAAGGCGGAAAGCTCCAGGCGCTGAGCTGCCGGCAGTGCAAACACCCTCGGTGCCCGGCACGGCTGTGCCTCGCTGCCCGCAGGTTGCTGAACACCTGCATTCCCACGGGCAGAGTATTTCTCGGCTTTCTACCTACAAAACTTTTGTCTGAACCCCAGATCTATCAGATCTGACACCAACCCACCACGGCAGGGTGATTTCCTTCGTCAAACACCACAGAAGTGCTCACTTCACTCCCTCACAGCACCGCTGCTTCTCAGAACAGCCTGGGTGTGACACCCCCGAGGGATTCCTGCACGGTCCCCTGCAGCTCACACTCATCAATCGCTAACCTCGCTGCTTTTTGGTCTTTCTTACAGCATCTGCTACAGCTCCATTCGTGACACCTGTTATGCTTGTGACAATTTGTGACAGACCGGCTCCGGAAAGGAGACCAAAGAGCGACTTCAGCTGTATCGCCACGTTAGGCTTGGTTCACTGCCTCCTCAAGGAACCGGTCAACTTCAGCCATCGCCATGGCGAGCACGGCAGGGCACGGCACGGCACGGCACGGCACGGGTGGCACAGGTCCCCCGGGTCCCTCCGGCCCCTCACGGCCCCGCTCGGCCCCACAGCCGTTCGCAAGCCCCGCCCCTCGCCAGCGCCACACCGCCCGCAGCCCTCATGTCTGATGCAATTCGCTTCCCCCCTTGCTCGCGGCCTCGGGCCAATCACGGGCTCTCCCGGCCTTGGCGTCACGCCTCGCAGCCAATGAGCGAGAGCCACGATGGTAGAAATCCGGGCGGGGCGGCGCGGGGCGCAGACGGCGGCGCTGGTGACGCCGGCGGCGTGTCCGCTGTCCTGTTGTGCCGCCATGGCAGCGCTGCCCGGTGCCGCGGCCCCGCGGCTGCTCCTCATCCCTAGCAAAGCGGCTGAGGCTCCCGGCCCCGCGGCTGCCCGGCATCTCTCCGTTGTCCTGCCGGCAGGAGCCGACCCCGGCCTCCCGGGGATGGAGACCGCGCAGCCGGCCCGCAAGCGGCAGCGGCTCACGCATCTGAGCCCGGAGGAGAAGGCGCTGCGCAGGTGAGTGGGGGCGCGCCGGGAGGGCTGCGGCTGTACTTGGTGGGTGTAAAGTGTCCCGCTGACGGCCGCTCTGCCCCGCAGGAAGCTGAAGAACCGCGTGGCGGCACAGAGTGCCCGCGACAGGAAGAAGGCGCGGATGACAGAGCTGGAGCAGCAGGTGGTGGAGCTGGAGGAGGAGGTAAGGGGCTGGGGGAGATAAGGGAATGGAGGAGGAGGAGTGGAGTGGCCTCCCTGCCTCACGGCTCTTTGCAGAACCAGAAGCTGCTGCGGGAGAACCAGCTCTTGCGAGAAAGGACGTGTAACCTGGCGCGGGAGAACCAGGAGCTCCGCTGCCGCCTGGGTTTAGATGCTCTGAAGACGGAGGAGGAGGAGGGTGACGAGTTCCAGGTGAGCCGCGCTGCTGGCGTGTCCGCCCCGCCGTGGGCAGAGCTGCCCCGCTCCCCGGGCAGCCTCGGAGCTGTGGGCAGGGATATGCCGGAAATACCTTTGTCCTCCATATGGAGGCTGGCCTGAAACTCCGCGGGTGCCACGTCGAAATGGGTAACGTGGGATGTAGAAAGTTGACTAGTTCCCGGCTGTGCAAAGACAGTTTTCTCTGGTTTTTTACCTTACAGAAGTGAACCCAAAACTGTTACAGTAACGTAGATGTGTCTCAGATGTGGTGGAAAAGGGTCAGGCTTTCATTTAAAAGTGTCAAAGTAAAGTGCAAATGTAGGGAAGCTTCAGCTAACTTTGAAATTACCTTAGCTTCAGATACCTACAGAACAAGCAAATAGAGAATTTTGTGTTGGAAACCTTAGCAGAAAAATGATGATCCTGAAGATCATGTACTGTGGTGCCTGCCAGATCATTTGCAGTGACTGAGTTTTTGTCTTGGTACAGGTTGTGAAGGAATCCCAGGTGGATGAGATCGGATTGGTGACCGGGTCCGCTGAGTCCGCAGCACTCAGACTACGTGTTCCTCTGCAGCAGGTGCAGGCCCAGCAGTCACCATTTCTGATAGTTTCCACATGGATTCTGATGGCAGTGACTCTTCAGACTCTGAGGTGAGCATCCAGTCCTATAAAAATTGCCCATGAAATTTGGAACCACTGTAGATTTAAGACTTGTGTTGTAACGTTTTGATGTTAAATCATTTGATGATTTCCATTCATTCCAAATCTTGGAATGCCATGTCAGAACAGCTGTGTTAGCCTATGTCCAGTAAGTACAAGTGTTCAGCAACACCCACATGAAAAAACCCAGTCCCCAGAGCTTTAGTCATGTGCAAGTCTGCCTGAGGCAGGTTTTGGTTTGTGCTCTGTGTAGCCAGCAGGCGCTGTGCTGTTTGTACTTGATGGGTACGAGATCTCAAGGAGCTTCTAATAGTGGCTGTAAATCTCAAATGCATGTATAATTCCCTGGGGTTTGCCAGTACCTTTACAAAAAAAGCTGTAGGCAAAGAATGACTGTGCCCTGGCACAGATTGCCCAGAAGGTTGTGGAGTCTCCCTCACTGGAGACAGTCAAGAACCATCTGATGCAATCCTGCGCCATGTGCTCCACAATGACTCTGCTTGAGCAGGGAAATTGGACCAGCTGTGACCTAGTGTGGTCCCTTCCAACCTGGCCTATTCTGTGATTTTCTGCAAGAAAACTGCCTTAACTGTGTGTTTGATAATATTCTTGGTAAAACAACTGTGATTGCATTAGTATATATTAACTTCCACGTGGAGGTAATAGATGCCACATTTGATGTTTGGCTACAACAGTAATAAACTATCTCTCTAAAACTGTCTTTCATTTTGCAGTCTGATCTCCTCTTGGGGTTTCTGGACAGTTTGGACCCAGAGTTATTTCTCAAATATGCTGATTCAGAGTCAACGTGCCTGGAAAAGCTGGACGAAGAGGTCTCTGGAGAAACAAATTCCATACCAACCACCGTCTCTCCCTCTTTGGGGTCCCCATCAGCTAAGCTGGAAGCCATTAATGAACTCATAAGGTTTGATCACGTGTATACAAAACCCCTAGTAGTGGAAATTCCTGTTGAAGTGGGCAACCAAACTAACATGCTAGTGAAAATTGAAAAAGAAAACCTCTCTTCATCTGATGACAAGGCCATCCCTGATGTCCCAGTGTCTGTGAAGAAGGAACCTGTAGACAGCTTCATGCCTGAACTGGGCTTTTCTCATCTGCTTTCTTCTTGTCATAGTCTTGAAGCCTCAAGCTACCTGTTGGATGGCTGTAGTGACTCTGGGTATGAAGGATCCCTGTCACCCTTCAGCGATACATCGTCTCCACTTGGCACTGACCATGCGTGGGAGGACAGCTTTGCCAAGGAACTCTTTCCCCAGCTCATCACTGTCTAACCTGTAGTGTTAACTCCCTGTGAACAGCTGCCCTGGCAGATATCAGCAATGCCCCTTTTGGGGGGTGTATGTGGGGAAAATCAAGTCCGTTCAGAAAAGTATTTCTCATCTTTACCATGCTAGTAGATGGTATGAAAAAGCCAAGGGTGTCCTGGCCTGCCCTGGCAACCCCCCAGTCAGTGTTGGCTTAGGAGAGAGGCAGGTTTGTTTCTCAAGAACTTGCTCATTCTCCATGAACCCAGAAATGGTTTGATTTCCAGTTAACATTTTAACACCAAAAACTAAACTGGGATATTCATGTATGGTCAACTGGGCTAGACCTTAATAGTCTCTAAGTCTTACAGCTTCACTAAATGCTTGTTTTCCATTTGCTATGTAGAGTCGCTTTGTTCATTTAATATTTAACTGTATTGGTGCAATTAAAATGCAGTGCAGCTCACTGACCCTGTTTTGCCTTAGAACTCAGTGGAGAGGGGAGAGTATCTGGGCCTTGGAGAATTTAAGTTCAGGTCCCTCAGTGCCTCACCCTGCCACAATGCATTGAGGAGCACTGCTCATAAGGTGTCTGCAGCTGGATGCTTCAGCAGTTCCCTTTTGGGGGCACTGGGTAGGGTAGATGGGTTTGTGTGAGGGCCAGAGCTACTGGAGCAAAACCTTTAGCCTCTGCAAGGCAGGCATGTGGTAGGAGCTTGAAGCCTGAATATTCAAAAATCAGGGCAGTGGTGGCACCCACGTGGCCAGTAATGCTGTCCAAAATTCTCAGTCTGAAGGGAGGTGGGTGCTAGACAGACATGGTGTGAAAATGGTTACAGATTCTGTATTACCACACAAAAGTCCTGAAGCATCAAATGGCACTTGGTCAGGAGCTAATTTCAAATACCACAGCAGGACTTCTCATTGTCCACATCCATTTGCTCCTGTATCCAGTATTTATCACAATATTAAAAACAGCTGGAGAGACAAATTTCATACTGAAAATAAGAGAGCTGTTGCAGGTGTTGGCACAGCTTTTCTTGGTTTCAGTGCTATTTCACATTTTGCATTCCATTTTGACAAAAATAACTTGGGGTGGGGAAGAAAGAAAACCAGAGATGTTTTAGTAACATTCAAGGTGACAGGACTTGGCATGCTTTATCCTGACTTGCTGCAGAAACTGGGTCCCACAACAGCCTGTTAATAGATACTAAGATCTCTTCCACTAAAACACAGAAGCGGTTCTTGTTTGGCATGCAGAAGCCTACTACCATTCAGAATTCCTATAAACAGTAGTATTTTCTACTGGAATCAAGTCCAGTAATATGGTACACAAAAAAAGCAAAAGTCTTACCTTCCAATAAAATTACTAAAATCTGAATTTCAAAGTCTTCTCTAATATTAAGAATACCTAGCTTGCTTAGTTCTGAATAGTTTTATTCTGAAGTAAAATGAATTATCTCAAAACAAAAGCTATAGCAACACTTATTGGTAGCCCTATTGCTTTGTCAGAGGCCTTTGGGTCATGACAGAATAACTCTTCCTTCCTGGCAGCTTCAGGTTTATTCAATTCTGCTGTTGCCTTCCCTTGTCCTGCTGAATACTGTGGAGGAAAAAAGGGGCATGCCTTTGACATAACATAGATAAATTCAACTCTTAAGCCAGAGGAGTACTTTACTGCCCAGCTGAAGGACTGCACATAGGCTCCCAAGATTTTTGTCACTTTTACCAGGAATGAAACAGTCATCTAAAAAATACTTTAGAAAATTTATTAAAAACTGACATACAAAGGGTGATTTGGTCCCAAGAGAAGACAGACCAGAATCGGATCTTTCGTATTTCAAAATAATGTTTTTCCTAATACTGCATCGCATTTGCCATCCTGTTTGTGAACAGCATTAATAAAAGTCTTTTAATGAAGACAACAACAAATGAAACTCACAAATACAGAAGTGTGTAAATGCCCACAGCTTGATCTCTCATCCAATCACCCTCTCCAAGTGATTGCTGTAGCAAGGATCTTGCTCAGTGCTTGTCACTTGTTTCCCACTCTAACCCACTCTTCTCTCAATTTAAGCAACTCAACCTCAGTCTCCTATCACAAGGGCAGAAATGCATTGTGAACAAATGAAAGCAAGTATTTTCTATTAAAGCAAACTTCTTAGACAATTTCTTTTCTCCATCTCATAGTCTTTGTTAACAGTGCACCACTCTATTCTTGTTTCAGATGGTAGGTAACAGGCTAGGGATGCTCTATTGGCATTGAATTAAGAGGAAAGACACCCCTGAAAGTCAACCTTTGGTACAAAGCTAGCAGGAAAAAAGTATGCTTAAAAGCCATCTACAACAATTTCTTATTCTGCAAATCTGATATATAATTTGGTGTTTTTAAGAGGAAAACAACTGCATCATTTAATGTATTTATGCCTCCCACATTTTTTTACATCTTCTGTTGCAGTTTCAGTGTTGCTGAGATGGTTTCATCACATTTTTGAAATTTTTATCCTTTTTTTTCAGTTTATTTAGGATTCAGAGCTTTCACCCAAAATACTTTTCCAACTTCGAACTTTCACTATAATCCAGCAAGCTGAAAACCAGTTACTTACTTGGAGGCATCACATTTTCTACCTGCAGTGACTACAGCCTTCTCCAAACTGACTGCTTTTTGTTCTACTCAAGCACTGGAGCACGACAAAGGATGTAGGTTTTAAAGACATTCAGCAGCTTAATAATACATAAGAAGTTTTACACAGCTCATGCAAAAGATTTATAGCAGACCCTGAAATGAAATTGGGCATTATAGCAAGATAGGCTGCACATGTTCATCAACTTAATAAACCTTCCAGAATGGTACAGGTGTATACTGGTTTCCAGAGTAATACCTAAGCAAATGCTGGAGTGTTTTTAGTGAAACTCTAAAATGTTTTATCAATGAGATGGAAAATTTAAGACAACCTTCAACAAAAGCAGCAAGATAAACAGGGTTTAACAAACAGGTATCTTTTGAACAACCAGAAGGAAATAAAGGATGACTGCAAAAAGAGAAGTTAGATTTTAAGCTTTCAACTATGGGTTATTTAACAGTAAAGAATATTATGACAAGGATTATCTTTTAGCTGTGCAGAGGAAGAGTAGATTTTCTTACATGAGAACTGTGTTACTGTGTACTTTTGCTGCTTTATGTTAGCAAAATGTCCAAACCAGACTGGGACATAGGACTCTGAATATAACCTGTTACTTGGAAAGGGATTTCTTATGAAAAGCCTCAATTCAGGTATCTGAGAAAGCTCAAGGACTTATGAACAAAAGATAAAACCCTTAAGTTAAGAGAACCTTAAGTATAAGGAACTGCTGTGCATTGAGAAAAGGTACAAGCAATAACTCATTGTGAATTCCTTTCCTTGGCACCCTGTGCAGGGTAGAATACTCTTTTGGCATACATGTATATAAACAATGTGATGCTATATTATTGGCACATACTGTGGCTTAAATTTTATGTCTAGATTCTCTCAGGAAAAAGACAGGCATCTCCTTTACTTCACCAGCAAAGGCTGGGACTTGGATACAAACAATAATCTAGCATTTGACCCTCCTAATGGCAGCAAGCAGCCATTATCCCTGTTATCTGATTTACTCATCATGTTTATCCAAATTAATGGATGCCATTCTGATTTCATCAGAAGTTACACTGTCTTCAACTGACTTTCCAAGTCCATGCATACAAACAATCTCAGCACAATATAAAATGTGAATCTCTTTGCTGAGAACCAATTTTCTCCAAATTTCGCATTGTTTGGGGAGGGCAACATCAAAAACCCACAAATAAAATTGAGAAGCCAATGAACCAAAGATGACTGAAGTTAGCAGATATCCTGCAAGTTATAACTGCTGGCTTTACTTTCTACAAAGCAAAAGACTTAAACTCAGCTGTAATATTCCCTCCCTACTACTCCATGGGGATTGTGTAATTCCTACATCGGAGTTTACATCAAGTTCAAACAAACAAGATGGTGTGAAAGTCTGTATTACCAGAGGGACTGCTTTTCTATCTGTGACTAGATTTGAAGATACTTCTTCCTTTACATTTTGTAACTCAAATTAAACCAAATGGCCAAGCATCGTATGTGCACCAGTTTCAATGGCTCAGTAAGAAGAGGGTGTGGCTTAAACCACAGTTACATTCAGTATTTGGATTTTATGCTTTACCAAGGGCAATTAAGAGGATATTTCACCATGAAGCAAGATGGAAAACAACTTCCCTGTTCCAAAGGCCTCTGAATTACCTTTTCAATAAAAGTAAGAATATTTAACAGATTGGAACACAGAAATCTTAGGGTGTTTCCTGGTCACCCTATGATTGTGGTGTGCTTATGACAGTAAGAAAACAAAAACAAATAATATAACTTCAGATTCACACATCAAACCAGGAAAAAAAAATCAAAAAACATCAGCAATAAGCATCAGAAGCTCACCACTTCCAGTCTAAAATCTGGCATCTACAACTCCATTTCTTCTTCTGCACACCCAGATATTCCCAAACTAGCATATGGATCTGGAGACATGGCAGTCTGTTGGGATCCAGGGAACGTTTCAGTCTGTGGGTCAAAAGGAGCTCTTGGTATTGGCTGCTTAGCTTGACACACTTCTGTACTCTGCTGCTTGAAGTTCTTAACAGAAACAGGCTTCAGTTTATCTGTCATAAATTCAGGAAGAGGTTTCCAAAGCACAAGCTCCATAGAAGGACGGCTCCTAGAAGGGATGGAGTTTCAGTAAGAAATTTAAGTTCTCCAAGCACAGCTATTAAATGCAGAAGACCTGTATCTCCATCCTTTGAGCTAGCCTGAGACCACATTCCAGAAATATATACCTTCCCCCCCCCATTAAATTTCCTCTTCCCTAACTAGTTCCATCATTTCTAGTTCTAATCCTGTACTTCCTCTCTTTTTTGCACCAAACTTGACCACTGTTGGTCACACTTCAAGATCTTCTCATTTTGGAAATTCATATACATGAAACCAAAACTGATACTGGTTCACTCAACAAATTTCACTCTGTAGGCGTGAGGAGTACCAACACATACTTGATGACCACTACAGTTACACTTATTTCTTTTGTACATTAGGACAGTTTTTCCTATTTTTAACCAGATGAATGGTCTGTTATACAATGCTGGCTGCATCATGCAGTAATCAAGGATATCTCCATAAACATGAAACAAGGTCTCTCTTTTCATTTGCATGTTAGCTACGTAGCACCGTGATTTCCTCCAGAACTTACATAGATTCTATTATTTTCTTTGTCAGGACTTCACCAAAATCCCTCTTCATCCCTTTCTTAAGGGTATCTGACAGGATAAGAGTGGGCAGATTGCTAACACTTCCATCAGCATGAACTTCCTCATCTTCATCAATTATCCTAGGAATGGAGGGGGAAGAGGGAGATAAACACTATTGAGCATACTGTTATCAGGAACATCCACTGCAGACTACAGTCACATCTACGTGCTCTGCTCTGTGCAGATCTCTGACCTAGGCTGGGTACCAGAAGCAGCAGGGCCATGAGTCTCTCTTGGGCCAAAATACCCTCACAAAGACTCATCACAGAAGCCACTTTAGCAGCAATGCCACTTCTGGTACCTGAGCTAGCTTTGTTACCCCTTTGTTATCCCAGAAGTGTCAGTGCAAACATACACTGAGAGAAAATAAACAAGGGAAACTGTATGATTCAGTCACATTACACAAGTGAGTCTCAGCTATGCAGCTGCTTCACCTGCTCAATTCCCCAAAGTGGACCTTGAGAATTACTGCAAAGGTACTGAAAACAGCTTTTCACAATACTGTGCCAGCTTCTGAGATTAAATCAGCACAAATTGTTGAAGTGTTTAGAACAAATGGAAGCATCTCCTTTGTTTTTGGTTTTTGTTTTACAGAAAATTTAGCAGTGTAGCTGGGAAGAATAGGGAACAATTCTCCAAGAAGACCAAAGCAGACATAGACAGATATTAGAGACAGATTTCACTACTCTGATTTTCTCATTAAAAAAATAACAGTCTAACAGTACCTTGCTTCTCCTTTTGCACCATCTATGGAGTAATCTACCAAAAATCCTGTTTTAAAATTTCTATAACTTTTGGCTTTTCCAATAATTTGCAGTGGTCATTTTAGATATTTTGGAATACAAGCTCCTCTGCAATCAACTAATACATACACATGCCATTCCCAGAAATCTTTCAAGGGCCAGAATGCACCGTAAATTTATTAAAACACTACAGCAGACTGTCTATAGCCACCCAATTACCCCACGTCACACCATCACCAAGATGAATCTCAACCTTACTGCATGTGTGCAGAGAGACCTCTCTGGTTCATGCTGCCCCCTCTC